AGTTAAGCAACTTTCGCAGTGGTCGGTTATTGGATGGGTGACCAAAAATTTACTGTCTCGAGCTCCTCCGTGCTTCTGAAAACACGTTAAACCGTTGGTCCCGGCTGGATCTGCAGTCGTTAGCACCCACCGATCCGCACTGGGCCCGCGTGGTGGGTCATGGCCCAAACTCCCTATTCCAACCATAGGGAAGGCTTGTGCCCCAGCAGTGGGGACATTTATAGACTGATGATGATGATGATGATGACCCGATACTTCCGATCTAGCTTAAGTTCATTTTGTATATGGATTGAAAGTATCGACATACATATAGTATGAAGCTTGGCTAGTTTATGGGATACAATAAATCAGTAGGTAAATGGGTTGCAAAGGAGATTGCTCAAATTGGCCCAAATGCACAAAAAATATTGACATACACGGTAATTCTTGGCGTGATTTATAATTTAATTTACAGTTATTAGATTTCAGCGGACACCTTTGTATAATATATTTACTTTAAAAAGGACTTTTCATTTTACCGGTTTGGAAAACATACGAATTCACAATCATCACACAGTTTCTGTCACAGAGTACCTTATTATAACCGGAAATGACACCTGATTTTAAAAGTTACTCTTATGCATTAACTTTAAAAACAGGCAACTATCTGTTAATCTACATGCTCTATATACCTGAATCTAATCCATAATTTCGGTACTTGGCTTGATTTCCCTAGTTTGCTATATAACTTATTTGTTTTTTATTATTCTAATATGTTCAGTGTATATGGTTTATAGAAGTTCTCAGGGGTGTCCGTCGATAATATTCATTTCTACAGTAATTTATATATAATTTCGAATCTAGGAAACAATTTTTCATGATTATTGGTTTTTAGGCCAAACATGTATGGAAGCTGAGCAATCTCCTTTCAAAAGATACTTTGGGTAAATATCAATTTGGTCGTCGTAGATGCTGAGCATGAGTGTGCTACAGAAATTGGCTTTAATGATTTATTTAATGGCTTTAATATTATTTTTAACATATAGCTAATATCACACAAAAGGTTGTTTTGATTTCGTAACAACTAAGTGTTTAAATAATTGCTTTTAAAGTACACGAATTTGTGAACTATATAGAGGCAATAATGATAAATGAGTGCTAATGGATTATGTAATGAACTAATTGTAGAATACGCTTGAAATAGCTAAGACGTCGACAACTTACCTCAAATGAGCGATAAAATTGATGTTTCTAATAATAAGCTTTGAAGGTCACTCTCTAAGTCGCCTTCTTTGTATACGAATCACATAGTACGTCATAAGCAATAATATGAATTTGATTCGTCATACGACAACACATGAAATTATTGATAATACGTATAGTACAAAGGTCTAAGCACGAGCTTTGAAATCAGATATCAATATATCTTTATTCAAATTGCATGTATAGCACAACTCGGAGTCCTGAACAAGGTGCGGCGTTTTTTCACGCCCGATCAACTGTGCTTGTTGTACAAAACGCAAGTGCGGTCCTGCGTGGAATATTGCTCGCACCTCTGGGATGGCTCCGCCAAGTACTTGCTCGATGCTTTGGATAGGTTACAGCGGCGCGCAATCCGCATCATAGGCGATGAGGAGGTGACTAAACACCTTGAGCCTCTTCAATTACGCCGTGACGTGGCATCACTAAGCGCGTTCTATAGTTTGTACCACGGCGAGTGTTCTGAGGAGTTATTCTCTCTTATCCCACCTTCCCCTTGCCTTCAGAGGACCACGCGCGCTGGCCTACGTTGTCACCGTCTTACTGTGGCCACAATTCCAACGCGTACAAAGAAATTTGGTGACTCATTTCTTTGTCGCACTATCCGTAAATGGAATGCTCTGCCCGCTCACGTGTTCCCTCCCTCTTACAACCTGGGATCCTTTAAAAGAGGCGTGAAGAAGCAACATGCAGGCCGGCAGGGTGAGGATGGCTGGTGTGGCAGGTAGAACTGCTGTATCAGCTATCTTCGCGTCTGGACTTCACCTTCACTTAACATCAGGTGGGGTGGAGTCATTTGTCGGACCTAACTATAAAAAAAAAAAAACATTTTATTATTATTCTTATTATAATCGTCCAATTTTTTTTCCCTACCACTCGTTATGGACATATTTTTTAGCTGCGGGGGAAAACGAGCGAAAAAAACTCCACAACATTAAAAGTCTAATGTAACAACATTTACAAATCATTATGTTGTTACAACGTCAATACAATTATGATTTATTTAGAAAATAGAAAACCTGTTGGAATTATTGGAACAGTTCAAACCCAAGCATTTTTGTCTGTAATATAATCAGACATTTTGTAATAAGCTTTTTTAATAAGTGTTTTTTTTTATAATATCTATAAATTTATTAATGGTTAACCCTTGGATATTGCTTGGGACTTTATTGTATAAGCGAACACAAAGACCTTTAAATGAATTATTAATTTTGTGAATCCTAGTAGCAGGTAATGTTAGTTTATTTTTGTTTCTTGTATTAAGTGTGTGAACATCACTGTTTTTAAGAAACAAATTAATATTTTTTCTTAACTGACATTATATTGACAGCTCCGTAATCGTATCGCATCGTCAAAGTTTCTATGAAAACTAAACAGCGCCTCTACCGAACGTTAGAACAAAGTGGCTCTTTTTATTCCATTCATCCATTATCAATCGGTCGTGAGCCATGCCTGAAACTGCGCTAAGCTGCAGTATAAGGTGTTGTTCAGTATGATATTATGTATTTCATTGCAACGCATGTGTGCACAGATGTGCGTAGCTACACGCTGATGCGAATTTCGCACGGGACAGCGTTGCTAGTGAGTCATAATATCCTTTGCTGTTGACACAGTGGCCTAGCGTAGTTGGGGCGGCAGGGGCGGCAAAATTTTACAATAAATGATAAAAATATTTCAACCATATTTAAATCAAAGGGCGGCAAAATTGTCCTCGAGGAGCTCGATGGCGCCAGTGGTAAGCGCGTTCGACTGCGGTCGTTGAAGTTAAGCAACTTTCGCAGTGGTCGGTCATTGGATGGGTGACCAAAAACTTCTATATCGAGTTCCTCCGTACTTCGGAAGGCACGTTAAGCCGTTGGTCCCGGCTGCATCTGCAGTCGTTAGCACCCGCCAATCCGCATTGGGCCCGGGTGGCGGGTCATGACCCAATCTCCCTATTCCATCCATAGGGATGGCCTGTGCCCCAGCAGTGGGGACATTAATAGGCTGATGATGATGATGATGAAAATTGTCCTTTGCCCTGTGCGGCCGACACCCACGCTACGCCGCTGTTGACAAGCGACTAGTTCTGAATAGCAACTCCACGCATTTATTTGCTCCGATGTGCTGTCGCAGTGTCATCCGCTTGATAGTATTTTTCCGTGACTCCTTTCCTAGGCACGTCACAGCGTCCACACACTGGCGTAGTAGAATTAGTTTTGTTTTACTAGCGTGTGACGTCATTTTAGTCTTTGCCAATCCGAGATGTTGTCGGGCACTTGAACATTTATAACAAAACAATCATTTGTTTTCATACATACAAATGTCTCAAACTTTCGGCAGCTCATAGTAGAAATATACACACATTCACCATAAAATAGAAAAGCAAGATGTCCAAATGCCTAGCCCCAAAGTAAGCATTGTAAGGGTTGTGTTGTGGGATACTAGGGTAACGGATAGAATCATCATCATTATCATCAGCCTATTACTGTCCCCACTGCTGGGGTACAGGCCTTCCCTATGGATGGATTAGGGAGATTAGGCCATGACCCACCACGCGGGCCCAGTGCGGATTGGTGGGTGCTAACGCCTGCAGAAGCAGCCGGGACCAACGGCTTAACGTGCCTTCCGAAGCACGGAGGAGCTCAAGACAGTAAATTTTGGTCACCCATCCAATGACTGACCACTGCGAAAGTTGCTTAACTTCAACGACCGCAGTCGAACGCGCTTACCACTGGCGCCATCGAGCTCCTCGGAACGGATAGAATACATATACTGTATACATATAAGTATATTTATATAGAAATACATATTAAACATCCATGACTGGAGTACAAATGCTCGTATTCATCACACAAACATCTGCCTCTACCGGGATTCGAACCGGGACCTCTCGAGTCGGCGACACCATGAAGCCCGGCGTGCAAACCACTCGGCCACGGAGGTCGTCGGCATAGCGTGTACAGTTTACGATTGTAAAAGTTAAAGATTGTATAAAGTTTCGCAAGGGTCGGTGATAGGTTCGGTGCCTAAAAGTTTATCCTCCCAAGCTCCGTTGTGCTTCGCTAGGCACTCTAAGCCGTTTGTTTTCGGCTGCATCTGCAGTCGTTAACACCCCTGGTGGCCAATCGCCTAACGGACAAGGGCGGATCCAGCTATGGCGCCAGTGGGGGGTCATATAGTCGTGGTCAAGTCACAGTGGGTACAGATGGACCCAGCCCAGGGGGGGGCCATGACCCCCATGACCCCCCTGGATCCGCCCTTGCTAACGGGATTGCTATGGCTATGGCTAGTGTTTACGATTTCATTTTCTTATTTCTGCCCGCTGGAGGTTTCGAAATGCCTCGCGCTCTTTTTTTCGCTTTTGCAATAGTAATAACAATATTAAAATGAGCGTAAGGAATTTGAAAACCTTCGGGGGTCAGAAATGAAAAAATAAAATTTTAAGCGATAGCCATAGCAAAACCGTTAGGCGATAGCCCCCCAGGGACTGAGACCGCGTAGCGGTTCATGTCATTTTCAAAGGATACTTACTAGAATTACTAGATCAAAATATTAAATGTTAAGATAAACCATTTTCTGTAATTGCAATATTAATAAGTCGTAGACGATTGTAACTAGATCCGTTTCCGTCTTGTCTTTACCAAGAAAATCCGTGCTAAAGTTCTCTCCTTTATAATAAATTCATTTTGAGTATAAAAATATTCCTCTGAATTTTATTTATACAAGACTGATAATGATGGAAAGGGCTAACCATGATTTTTCTATAATATTGTTTACAGGGCTTCGTGCCTGGCATGTTTGGGGTGTCGCACGGCGCGCTGCAGTTTATGACCTACGAGGAGATGAAGAATCGATACAATCAGTACAGAAACCTGCCCATCGACATCAAGCTGGTGAGAACTGCCTACTATTAATATATTATCATAACTCTAGCTTGGATCCCTTGTTTTGAACCCTCGGGCACGGTAATAATATCATACAGTATTCTATCTTTATACAAACGGTCGGAAAGCGAGTCATACCTACGCCACTCGAGTTCGATGTGCCCTCGGCGGGCACCCAGTCGCGAATGCGCCGCGGCGCCTTACGCAGCGCTCGGCCGTAGGCATTTATTTTCAAGGACAGGGCGGAGTCACAATACTGTATAGATAATATTACCGTGCCTCGGGGAATGAAGTTCTCAAAAATAAAACTAATTTTTAGTTTAGGTTTTTAAACTTTTTAGAAATACCTACAATAGGGGTGATGTCGGGGTACAGTAAACGAAATTCTATTTAGTCCGTCAGTTAGATCAAAAAATAATGGACACGCATTTTTTCTTTGGGCAATCAACCAAAAAATGACAAAGTTATAGCGCGTCAAAGTTTGGGAGTACGGGCTCTGGACGTCATTTTTGAGTGAATTTTCACTTATAAGTGTACTCATACGTGACGTCATGCGACTTTTCAAATCAATATATCTCTGCAATGTTTATATTATGTGAATAAAGAAAAAATACGTGTCCAATACTTTTTGTTGATAATCTACCTTATAAACAAAGAAAAAAAAATTAGTCATCTTCCCTAGTCTAAAATGTTAAAGAGTAATATATCTACAATTTTAAAATGTTAAAGAATATGTTTTCAGAAATTTTTAACTTAGAACAGAGTTTCCTATAAAGTGGACGTTAGGTATTAAGCCAGACATATCGGCGCTCTATATTGAGTGTTACGAGAATACCCACATTGCCCACATTCAAAGTCACGCGATTCAATTCGCAGACCCATGCCATGTCGACAAAACAAACTTAAATTCCTTAATAAAATTAAGTACAATGATTAGAGACTGCTTCTATTGGAATTTATTAAGACTTCACTCACGACAAGTTAAATAAATAAATATTTCCAACACTCACAGCAATTAGCCTAGCCCCAAAGTTATGCGATACTAGGGTAACGGATAGAATACATGTATAAGTATAGTTATATAGAAATACATATTAAACATTCATGACTGGAGTACAAATGCTCGTATTCATCACACAAACATCTGCCCCTACCGGGATTCGAACCCAGGACCTCTCGAGTCGGCGACACCATGAAACCTGGCGTATAAACCACTCGGCCACGGAGGTCGTCAAAGTTAAAGGTGTATATTTTATTATTTTATTTCCAACACTCACACCAACTAGCCTATCCCGAAAGTAAGCACTGTAAGGCTTGTGTTATGGGATACCAGGTATTATAACTATATATTTATATAGAAACACATATTAACCATCCATGACTGTAGTACAAAACTGTTGTTCGAACCCGGGACCTCTCGAGTCGGCGACACCATGACAGCCGGCGTAGAAACCACTCGGCCACGGAGGTCGTCAATTTAGGTACATCTTGTTACCATGTGTGTATCTGTTGCCCTTAACTTATTATACTATTTGTAAAAAGATGCGTGAAATTGACTTACAGCACTTGAGTCAACACACGGAAAGAATGCAATACATAAATGATATTGTCTTTCTTAATTTTATGTGCATTAATTTAAAATAGCATTATATTGTCCATTGTCAATAAAATATGAAGCAAAAGTCATGTATTGCTAACAAACGACCTCCGTGCCCGAGTGGTTTGTACGCCGGGTTTGAAGGTGTCGCCAAATCGAGAGGTCCCGGATTCGAATTCCGGTGGGGGCAGATGTGTGTGTGATAAATACGAACATTTATACGCTAGTCATGGATGTTTTATATGTATATCCTATATTTGTTTCTTAGGTTTTCACGCACATCACTCATTAAATAAAACTATTTTTTACGGGTTAATGCACGAAAACTTTATTTATTTATTGACGTTTCGCAGCCTTTTCAGGTCTGCATCGTCAGAATAATGATTTTTTATTTAAAATTGTCGAGCTACCTTCGAAAGACTTATATTATAACAATATATTATATATTATGACAATATAAGTCTTTCGAAGGTAGCTCGACAATTTTAAATAAAAAATCATTATTCTGACGATGCAGACCTGAAAAGGCTGCGAAAAGTCAATAAATAAATAAAGTTTTCGTGCATTAACCCGTAAAAAATAGTTTTATGTATATCCTATACCTATATAGCCTATATATATATGTATACCCTAGTATCCTATGAACTGGACATGGACATTTTGCTGATTAGGGGGCGTCCATAAATTACGTGAGGTGTATTTTTGAATTTTCTGTCCCTCCATCCCCCCCTGGTGAGATGTCGTGAGATTTTATTCAACCCCCTCCCCATCCCCCAATCTCACGTGAGAATTTTCAAAATGAGGGTTTCTTACGTAAACGCATGGAATATTATTGTAAAAAGAAAAAAAAATAGTTTCGTGCTTTTATTTTATTCAGACTAAATTGAGCTATTTGGTATACAACAAATATAGTGGTTTGACAGTCACTAGATGTATAACTTCGAAGTATGAATGAAATTATTTTCTTTCGAATCGTATTACGATTACGCTTAACATTAAATCTTAAGCATGTACAATCTGCATTAAATGGACGAAAATACTTTTTTTTTTGTTTCAATCAGAAAAAAAATGCGTGATTTTTACCGAGACCCCCCCTCTCTCCAACGTAAGATTAGATGAGATTTGACTTGACCCCCTTCCCCCCTTAAACATCTCACGTAATTTATGGACGCCCCCTTAGGCTTTCTGCTCATTTGACGTTTCGCGGAGTCAGACATTCTGCTACTATTGATCGCGAAGCCTCAGGCATTGTCCTAATACAACGCGATAACGCGAATGAGCGATGCGATCATCGTACGAGTCGACGATCAAACATATTGATCTACAATAGGTGTCCTAATAGGCGATCGCGCGATGCAAATGTTTAAAAATCTATTCGCGCGAGCTCAGTTCGCGCAGTCAAACCTATTAATGAAGAATAGGGTGTCCTAACTGAAGTTCGCGCGATGATCGCGTCGCGTCGATAGGAATCGGGGAGAGGGGCAGGGCTAACCCGTTCCGTATTCGCGTTCTATTAGGACACCCAGTTCGCGATCATGCGATGGTCGCATCGTATAAACGCGCGATGATCGCGTTATCGCGTTGTATTAGGACAATGCCTCATACTGAGCGTTGATTATTGAATCTTGCCGTCCGTCTTTATAATTAAATGGGGTCTTTTCCATTTTTCACTTAGACGTCAGCCGAGTACCTAACATTCGCGGCGATCTCCAAACTAGTAGCGGCCGGCGCCACTTACCCGTACCAGGTTGTACGCGCGCGATTGCAGGACGGGCACGCGCGGTACACGGGCGCCTGGCACTGTGTCACCACCACCTGGAGGTACGAGCGGCTACCGGGCTTCTACAAGGGGCTTGCACCCTACTTACTACACGTCACGCCCAATATATGCCTCGTCATGCTCATATGGGAGAAGTTCACCAACAACGATTGATTCTAGCTAACGTCACTCGTGATTTTAGCCTCACTCTCTATGTATCGTGATCTTATAATGTCAGTGTCCTCTGAATTTACTCTCGGTAATTAATTCTAGCTCCACTATCGATTTATCGAGATCGATATGTCTTGTCTCAATAATAAAATAATTTTATGTAGCTTACTTCACTCTCTCGATGTATCGTGATTATTAGATCGTGTCGTAACTGTGTCGCCACCACCTGGAGGTACGAGCGGCTACCGGGCTTCTACAAGGGGCTTGCACCCTACTTACTACACGTCACGCCCAATATATGCCTCGTCATGCTCATATGGGAGAAGTTCACCAACAACGATTGATTCTAGCTAACGTCACTCGTGATTCTAGCCTCACTCTCTATGTATCGTGGTCTTATAATGTCAGTGTCCTCTGAATTTTCTCTCGGTGATTAATTCTAGCTCCACTATCGATTTATCGAGATCGATATGTCTTGTCTCAATAATAAAATAATTTTATGTAGCTTACTTCACTCTCTCGATGTATCGTGATTATTAGATCGTGTCGTAACTGTGTCGCCACCACCTGGAGGTACGAGCGACTGCCGGGCTTCTACAAGGGGCTTGCACCCTACTTACTACACGTCACGCCCAATATATGCCTCGTCATGCTCATATGGGAGAAGTTCACCAACAACGATTGATTCTAGCTTCAATCTTTACGTTTTAGCTCCATTATCGATGTATCGTGATCAATAGGTCGTGTCTTTTTATCTATAATATCACAGTGTCCCCTAACTTCACTATAAGTGATTAATTCTAGCTCCACTATCGATTTAACGTGATCAATATGTCGTGTCTATATAATAGCCTGATTTTATGTAGCTTACTTCACTCTCTCGATGTATCGTGATTATTAGATCGTGTCGTAACTGTGTCGCCACCACCTGGAGGTACGAGCGGCTACCGGGCTTCTACAAGGGGCTTGCACCCTACTTACTACACGTCACGCCCAATATATGCCTCGTCATGCTCATATAGGAGAAGTTCACCAACAACGATTGATTCTAGCTTCAATCTTTACGTTTTAGCTCCATTATCGATGTATCGTGATCAATAGGTCGTGTCTTTTTATCTATAATATCACAGTGTCCCCTAACTTCACTCTCGGTGATTAATTCTAGCTCCACTATCGATTTATCGCGATCAATATGTCGTGTCTATATAATAGCCTGATTTTATGTAGCTAACTTCATTCTCTCGATGTATCGTGATTATTAGATCGTGTCGTAACTGTGTCGCCACCACCTGGAGGTACGAGCGGCTACCGGGCTTCTACAAGGGGCTTGCACCCTACTTACTACACGTCACGCCCAATATATGCCTCGTCATGCTCATATGGGAGAAGTTCACCAACAACGATTGATTCTAGCTTCAATCTTTACGTTTTAGCTCCATTATCGATGTATCGTGATCAATAGGTCGTGTCTTTTTATCTATAATATCACAGTGTCCCCTAACTTCACTATAAGTGATTAATTCTAGCTCCACTATCGATTTAACGTGATCAATATGTCGTGTCTATATAATAGCCTGATTTTATGTAGCTTACTTCACTCTCTCGATGTATCGTGATTATTAGATCGTGTCGTAACTGTGTCGCCACCACCTGGAGGTACGAGCGACTGCCGGGCTTCTACAAGGGGCTTGCACCCTACTTACTACACGTCACGCCCAATATATGCCTCGTCATGCTCATATGGGAGAAGTTCACCAACAACGATTGATTCTAGCTTCAATCTTTACGTTTTAGCTCCATTATCGATGTATCGTGATCAATAGGTCGTGTCTTTTTATCTATAATATCACAGTGTCCCCTAACTTCACTATAAGTGATTAATTCTAGCTCCACTATCGATTTAACGTGATCAATATGTCGTGTCTATATAATAGCCTGATTTTATGTAGCTTACTTCACTCTCTCGATGTATCGTGATTATTAGATCGTGTCGTAACTGTGTCGCCACCACCTGGAGGTACGAGCGACTGCCGGGCTTCTACAAGGGGCTTGCACCCTACTTACTACACGTCACGCCCAATATATGCCTCGTCATGCTCATATGGGAGAAGTTCACCAACAACGATTGATTCTAGCTAACGTCACTCGTGATTCTAGCCTCACTCTCTATGTATCGTGATCTTATAATGTCAGTGTCCTCTGAATTTACTCTCGGTGATTAATTCTAGCTCCACTATCGATTTATCGCGATCAATATGTCGTGTCTATATAATAGCCTGATTTTATGTAGCTAACTTCACTCTCTCGATGTGTATCGTGGTTATTAGATCGTGTCGTAACTGTGTCGCCACCACCTGGAGGTACGAGCGGCTACCGGGCTTCTACAAGGGGCTTGTACCCTACTTACTCGCGATATATGCCTCGTCATGCTCATATGGCAAAAGTTCACCAATAACGATTGATTCTAGCTAACTTCACTCGATTATAATTGAGTCTAGCTTCACTGTCGATATGTCGTGGTCATTAGATCGTGTCCTTATCGTTTTACGACTGATTTAAACTTCACTCTTAATGTGTCGTTGTGTGTGTAAATAGGAGCTCTCGCTTATCATATTTTTATTTTAAGCATATCAGCATTAAGCAACTGATTGATCTATGGATTTAAAGAAAAGTTTTATTAGAAATAATTCTGCTTGGTCCAAGAGTTTGATTGGATTTGAATGAGCGTTGAATTTAAAGTTTTTCCACATTGGTTGATGTATGAGTCGTTAGTTGACGATATGTTGAAATCGCGGTTTTTGTAATCAGAATTGCGGTAAATGGAATGACAAAGCGAACCTTCATCATTCCGCAATAGATGATGGTATTTATCGTTGTTGAACCGAACCAATCTTGCGTACCTAATGAATAAAGTTGAACACGTCCTGCTCTGAAGGTACTTTCTGTATTTCTATAAGTATTTAGATAAAATAGAGGAAAGGTCATAAAAGCATCGTCAAGCAGCCAACGAGATTTTTTTTAAAACTAAAATAATTATATTTTTTATTTTTAAAGCATGTAACAGCTTGATGTTTAAATCTAAAGAAAATATAACTAGAAAAAATTCCACGCGGACCAGGCAGCAGACGGGACTCGGACCCGCACCCTTCGCAATCCGGGCGAATGCACTGACCAATTATGCTACCGCGGCCCCCACGGACCGCGTCGAAATTCCTCTAGCCATTCTTAAGCTGCAAGGCAGCGCCATCTCTTCGCATTGTAGGTAACCCACAATGTCAAATGAATACTTTTACAAGTTTGAAAGAAGAACTAAAATAATTTTAAAATATCGCCAGCTGGCATATTGACATCATGATGTCAAAACGCCAGCAAGGCGATATTTTTATTTTATTTTATAATGGGTTTATATAGTTTTTAATACTGTAGAGTAGGACACGACTAACGGTACGATGATTTTGAGAGTCAGCCCTCTGGAAAGAACTTAGAATCTGATGAGAATGTGCACAGTTATATGCTTAGAATTCGAGTCCCGCCTAAGGTTGAATTTTGGACGACAAATTTCAAAAACAAATATTTGATAAATCTTGGAATAAAATCCAAGCAAACAGGTGAATATACGTAGTGCGTGTGTTTTTTTTAATGATTTTCACTTGACGGTGCAATGTAATATTGATCTGGAGAATTAACCCTTATTGCAATGCTAATGTAAAACTAACTACTGTTAATCTGTGGGACACGACTTAGTTCACGATACATAGATTGATGATTTTAGAAGCACGCCCTCTGGTGAATACTTTGAGCATGTGACGAGTAAAAACTGATGGGAATATGTACAACTGCTGTGTTTAGTTCTTTAGTCGATAGATGGCGGTATTTGATGTTTCTTAAGTGTTATTGTGTAAGCAGCCTGTATATGAATTTTGACATTTCAAACCTACATATTTTTTTGGTTTGACGTTACTGTTAACTAGTTGAGAAAAAAAACGTGTATACATATAATATAAGCAAGTTTAATTAAGTTACGCGCAATAAAAGTATGTTTTGAATGTCAAGTTTGCATTAATTTCATATCAATATAAGTATGTGATAATAGCACAGTAGACTTCCGGGTCAATCTCTTGTACACCAACAACCATTGATAGTTAATTTTAAAACGATTTATGCAATATGTAATATTTATTATATATATTTTAAAGAATGAAATTTTTGAAGGTTATGCGTTTCCAATTTAGACATTTGCATTCATAATAAGATAAAGTGGTTGTAGATTATGTTCAGCCGAATACACTTGTTGAGTGGTTTAAGGCGAATATCCTTTGAAACTGATACTAATAATTCTTAATGATTCTACCAACGATCTCGATACTAGTGCACGCAATTTACGACTGAAAATATGTTATTCGAGAAAGTAGATTTCTTTGATTCATTCAAATGTTTTTTTAATTTTAATTTTGTTTGTAATGTTTTTTGTCTATTACATGTAAGGGAGATTTAGTGTAAATATTAATTTATAAAAATGACGAGTGTTACTAAAGCTTGACTCAGTAATTTTCGATCGATTCAATTTAGTGCTGTCGTCATAATTTTGTCTACTTTTTTAATTTTTACATTTTTTCACCCTGTCTTTATTACTGAATGGTAAAGTGTATAATTCGAGTTAAAATGTATTATTTATTATATCAAAACAAATAGACTATTGATATGTGCTGAAAATGGAATAGAATTTTGAATTTTGATCTCTATTGGACGATGTCGTTCGAGCCATTGGGAAAGACTTCTACATATTTGGTGACCGAAGCCTACAAGGTAAGATTTTGATAAGTAAGGTTTTCATTGTTTAAATGAGTCATGAAAGAATATTGTACATAGCTGAAGCCATTATTACTCAAAGAATCCACACTAAGAGTGGCCTCAAATTTACAATTAACAACGAGATTTGGTTACTACAAAGTTTAAAATGTTATCAAAAGACTTTGAACTTTATGTAAGTTAGGGTATTCTGTCAAGTTCGGATAACCTCATGTTTTTTTGATTATATCATAACATTGCCAGGTTCCAACCTGATCTTTGAGAATGTTAAAAACTCATTGTTTTAATTGTGAACCGTAATTAGAACGTGATTGTTGTATGGAGAAATGATGTTATTTATAAACTGTGACAGCTTTTGGCGCGAACGCAAAACATTTATGTTGGCAGAGAGTCAATACGACACACCGGATAATTACTTTGTTTAATAAAGTACCGCAAACGAAGTTATATTGTTGAAAATGGTGTTAATTAATGAAAATAAGTCTTTCGAAGTATTTTTGACGTGACAACGTCTTAAATTAGGTTGCGGCTGGGAGTCACTTATGAAAAAGTGTAACGCTCGGTAACGTTACGATGAGTTTAAGTTTACATGTACAATGTTTTAGTAAACAAAATATATTTCTATAGTTAAAATTTGTGCAATTCTTATTTTCATTCAATTCCTTGTTCCTATTGTGCAATTTAATTATATTCATATCAATAAATATTCTACCGAGAAAAAGACGTTGTCACGTAAAATCTTCGCCCGTAAAACCGACTTTACAGGCAACCATTTTTTTTTAATGTAATGTATCATTAATTTAGTGTTTTATTTATGTATGTTGTAATTTTAAATAGTGTTTCTTAAAAAACAAATTATAATATATGTGATATTGTTGTTCGAACTCGGAAGTTGTACGAATGTATTACCACAAGAAAAGGTTGTTCTTAATTTTATTTCACTGGCAACATTTAAGAAACGCTCGTTTGAAAGATTTTCAAGTACTGTCTCACGACATATGTTGTGTTTTGTTCTCTCATAATATTATTGCTAGTAAGCATTGTAGTAGTACATGTACCCATCAGATCGCGACTGAATGTATTTTAAAGACAAACCTGGCGAAACAGCCAATGTTTAGCACAATTTAGTTTTTAGTTTTTGACGACTTTGTGATAATAGGTATGTACTTATAATTTTTTGGTTTTCTCTTGTATAAATAACGAAAAACATTAAATGAAAAGACAATACTTACATTATTTCTCCTTTTGTTTTGTTTGTTTGGTTTCATTAACGTTACATGTGTGGTGAGACGACGTAAGCTTCCTAAGATGGACCTGTTTCAACTTGCTACGATAGGAAAAGTAAATATTAAAAAAAAACCTATTTCATATATTTTTTTGTCTCTTTTAAATAGGTATAATCATCGTGTATGCAAGTTCGAAGCTTATCTGTCTGTAGCGTTTAATGTTAGATGTATTCCCGCCTCCTATGTAGATCTATCAATCTCTTAATAAAACATATAATACACATATTATCTCCAATCAGTAAGTAACATCCCCATACTTAATGTAATTTAGTACAATCTGTGAAGAAATTGCACTTCTATGTTAAGTAGGAATTAATAATCAAATTAAAATTTGTATAAAATCGTTAAACAAAATGGCGACAGTCGATTCACACAACTCCCGTTTCTTAAATTTACGTAAACGTTACAATTAATTCACTTGTATTTTTATTCAACGTTTTCTTATCGCTACCCTATTGTTGAAAACACAAAAAAAATGATTGAATTTATTGCGGCCTAATATTTCAAAAATCAATTCATACTAGAATTTGTTAAACAACATTCAGGTTTTGAAATTAAACAATTGCGTGATGAATCATAAAATTCAGTAGCAAAAAACTTTTTGGAACGTGTTTTTTTTAATAATAAAAGTAAATATCAAGAACATTATGGTTGAAAAGCTTAACCTTATTTTTATGGGCATAAAGTTCAAAATATATTATTAAATCGAAGGGTTATCTCATTCTCTATGGTTTCTTTCTCTCTGTATTAATTCCATCTGTGCTGGAAATACATGTTTTTGGCAATAAGTGTTATATAACGTATAATTGAGATGAATGTGTGAATCGATGTACGTACACCAAAAAAAAAACATTGAATATTATAATATGATGATGCGAAAAATCTGAACACGCACATTAGTGAGTTTTAAAAGCTGTACCTTAAATAATTTATTTTTTTCTCACGGGCATTTAGTTACAGCTTCGTAAGTTACGCGCAAATTTATATGAAATCGCTGGAGTAGTTACAGTATTTTTAATATTTTTTTTTCGAGTCTGGGCGTTTGTGTACCTCCCTTTGTTTCTGAATTACGTAACGCGAGTATAAAGTATGCGAGGTTGTCAAGTACCTTTTTCTTTGTTGTTGAGATTTTATGAATTCTCTTTGTCGTGTGATTGAATGCTTTATGTTAAGGTTGTAAAGTCTATATTGCAATAACAAGTGTTTTGATTATTTTGCCATCGATGTAGGAACGAAGCTCTGGCTAAATGCTCACGAGTCCTAGTTGTAACTTCTTATTGGGTGGCTGGCCACAATAATGATTTGTAAGACGTTTAACATTACTATATATTTTTATATTAATAATAATAATATTAATTTATCTATAAAGTTCAATTGTTTCAACTCATTATTCAATTTGTGTAATCAAATAAATGCAACAAATTGATGAACTATTGTTTTTTTTATTTGAAATTTATTTACTAATAAATACAAACCTATTGATACGTTTTGAATAATTCAATATTTTATCGAAGCTAACTCATCGAACTATTAATATACATAAGAAGTGCAATGTTTCATTATTTTTAATAAATTTGGTAAGTATTGTCTTTTTATATAATGGGATTCACGGATTATTTGGTGATATTGTTTAATCGAATGGCATTGACATAGCTTAAGCGTATATATAATTTGGTTTTCTAACGTTAAATTTACTGTATGTCACTTAATTTCTTTTTCATAATAATTTAATTAAACTACTTTTAATTACAAGATTTATGCAGTATTTAGTTTGTAACTATCCATTAATTTCTATAATACTTCAACACCAATGTTCTATTAAACGATGTCACCACGAAATCCACTGTCTGTACGCAGGACTGTTTTTTGATGCAGCTATTTAAGCTCCATGTCGTTGGACATAATGTTGAAAATATGTTGTGTTTTTTAATTACTAGTATTTTCGAGAGCTGTATAATATCGGTTACGTAGAGACTCAGGCGCGTAGAAATAGCATTCTTGCGTACAAGGATACACTAAACGCCGTGCACAGAGACGTCAAAAAATCTGTAATAATTAAAGTATAATCCTGTCTTCTGATTAGATCACACGGAAATACAGGGTTAATTTGAAACAGCTGTTTGTTTTCGCTATTTCAGATTTGGGCCCAATATAAAAGTTGTTCTTATTGATGGGTAGAATCACCCCCTAAGAAGTTGTTGCTGTTTTGAAATAAGCCCTGTATATAGCACTTACTTTTATAACACTTAAAATTTAATTCACGTCTCTGGGTGCGGCTTAATAGTAAATTTGGTTAAACTCAGCGGTTAACTCTCCTATTGGTCGTTGCAGACACGAAGGCTTGGCCGGGTTCTACAAGGGGCTGAAGCCGAGTCTGATGCGAGTGGTACCCGCTACCATGGTCACCTTCCTAACGTACGAGAACGTATCACACTACCTTCTCCATCGTACCAGGGAGGTGCCTCTGTCGTCCTAATAACGACGATTCTTAGACGGACAAAGAGAAAAACTCGACTAAAACGTTTTTTTAGTTCTTATTTACCATGTTTAAAACCTCTTTATAAAATATCTTGTTCGTGGATTATTTCATGGAAAAATTGCTTTTTACACCTCCCTAACGTACGAGAATGTATTACACTACCTGTTCCATCGTACCAGGGAGGTGCCTCTGTCGTCCTGATAACGACAATCCTTAGACGGACAAAGAGAAAAACTCGACTAAAACTTTTTTTATTCATATTTACAATATTTAAAAACTCTTTATAAAACATCTTGTTCGTGGATTATTCTATTGAAAAAGTACTTTTTTTACATCTTTCTCACGTACGAGAACGTATCACTCTACCTGCATCATGGTACCAGGGAGATGCCTCTGTCATCCTAATAACGACAATCCTTAGACGGACAAAGAGAAAAACTCGACTAAAATGTTTTTTTAGTTCTTATTTACCAACTTTAAAACCTCTTTATAAAATATCTTGTTAATGGAAAGAGTACTTTTTACACCTCCCTAACGTACGAGAACGTATTACACTACCTGCTTCATCGTACCGGGGAGGTGCCTCTGTCGTCCTAATAACGACAATCCTTAGACGGACAAAGAGAAAAACTCGACAAACGTTTTTTTAGTTCTTATTTACATTACAATCTTTAAAAACTCTTTATAAAATATCTTGTTCATGGCTTATTCGATGGAAAAAGTACTTTCTCACTTTCCTAACGTACGAGAACGTATCACACTAGCTGCTGCATCGTACGAGGAAAGTGCCTTTGTCGTCCTAACCAAAAAATATTGGCTGAACAAGATGTTTATAGCTGGAGATATTACGTTCTTAAACCTTCCAAATGATATTAACATTATCATTTATGAACGTACGTATCGTACGTACGTAGAACGTAGTGCACTATCTGCTACATCCCACAAAGGGAAACAGAAAAAATCGGCTAAAACGTGTGTAGTTTTTTCATGCTATCTATCTTGTTTGTGGCATTTTCTATGGAAATACACAACTATTTTGTAATACACTTTGTGGACTATAGGTAAAATTTTACATATTCTACTTTGTATTTGAACTAATAGTCGAAAAACAACGCGACTTAACGGGTCTGTTATATCTTTTATTAAGTATAGCTTATTATTACCATCTTCATAAAAGAAAATGATATGAAACAGATTGATTGATTTATGGACAAGGCATCCACAGCGGATTTCGGTAAATCTATGTAGGTGCTGTATTAAAATTTGCATTTTGACAGAGCTGTGTTTTTATCATTAGTTAACAATTTAGTGATACCTAGGGTAATTTAATTTGTTATGTTCCTTTGTTAGGGTAGAAACCATGAACGAAATTTAAGAATAGTTTTTTTCATTCATGAATGTAGAAAAGCAAACCCACGAAATTGTTCTTTTATCATAAGACATTGTTTGAAAAAACCCAGAAAATATATTATAACGGAAACTCTAATGTTTCCGTTATAATGCCATTTTAGAATTATTGAAGTCGATATAGGTGTCAATTCTGACACGATTCTCTAAACTTAAATTTAAATTTGACAACAGTCTATCCTTGTCATTCTCTATACGGAATGAAGAGGAGAGATTGATATTAAATTTAGTTTTAAGTTTAGAGAATCACGCCAGAATCGACACCATAGACGACTGACTTGTGCGAAACATATAGCGATATAATCTTTGTCACTTAGGTTATAAGGTTGAAATTGGCAATTGTATTTTGATTATAAAATCATAACAGTTTTCTATCACGCTTATTTTGTTTGCTGGTTCACAGATACTGGACTGGACACAGTTCTACGATTATAACTCTACTTGCTACCCAATGTGTGTATGTGTGTCCCCAGTGTTATGAATGTCAAATTGTAACCTAGACGTGACATCAACGGTGATTTGGCTATATAAGCCGCGCCAATAAAGAAACGAATCGAAAATGGCGTCTATATACCTGCACTGACAGATAGGGTCAACAAATAAAGAGAAAGAAAAAGTTGTTTATTAGGTAATGTCGAGACAGTGCAAGAACAAAATCAGAACTGATATTTTTTTGCATGCAGTACGCGCCGTGTGCGACTAAAGATAGCAATAGTTTAGAATGAGAGCGCATGATCGCCGCCGCCATTTTAGATTCGTTTCTTAATTGGCGCGGTTTATAGCTGCGTACGTTATTTGCGTCTGATCAATCTTTTTAGTCTGCATCGTTCAGGGGGCCAATCGCCTAACGGGATTGCTATGGCTATCGCTACCGCTTACGATTTCATTTTGTTATTTGTGACCGCCGAAGATTTTCAAATGCACCGCGCTCTTTTTTATTGCTTTTGTATTGGTAAAAAAACAATATTAAAGAAAATGAGCGTAAGATATTTGAAAACCTTCGGCGGTCAGAAATAAAGATAGCCCTAGCCAGTCCGTTAGGCGATTGATCCCCTGGAGTGAATCTGAACTGTTCGGCAATTCCGCTCAGATTAGTCCGATCTGTTTGCTCGGAGTATTTTGACCGACGAGAAAGATCGATCTGGTTATCTTTCATGTTGTGAGATTAGTTTCTGTTTGAGGTTAGACATATGTGAGGTTAGACGTTTGGTAATAGCAATTTACTCAGATTAATCCGTGATCACATGACCAAAGATCCGTCGCCTCCACGACGTAAATACCGAACGCAGTTCATGTAGATTTGCGAACGAAAGAGCATGGAAAAAGAATAAAGTAAATTTTTATTTTCACTTAAACCAGTGATGTTCCTTATAATATACGTGTGACGATTTATTTTTAGACATCTGACCATCATACCACAATTTAAATATCTGTTTCCGCTGTGAACTTGAACTCGCTCGCTTATCTATCGTTGACAAAGATTATCTAAAATGTCGCGTTGTATAAGTAACGTATCGATATATTTAAACTTATATCAGATAAAAAGGACGTTATTGGATTTTGATAACGACAACTTCGGGGCATTCTGGTTCTGGCATTGAGACCTTGATCTCACAACATCTGCTATAAATATTTTATGCTAATTGTTTTTTAGGTAGCAACGTATGGTTTTTTTATGAATTGCGTTAGACATGAGAATAGGATAGAATAATTGATGTAAACACTAAAGTTACCAAACAAACGTTTTTTTGCCAGCACGATGGCGCAGTGGTTACCTCGATCTGTATATCGAATGGATAAGATCAGGGCCGGATTTAGGATTGTGGAGGCCCCGGGCCACTTAGGATTTGTATGCTTGTTAACCCATCAAAATTTTGTTATCTTTTATCCTGTTGTGGAGGCCCCGGGCCACTTAGGATTTGCATGCTTGTTGACCCATCGAAATTTTGTTATTTCTTAAGCTGTTGTGGAGGCCTCTGGGCCACAGCCCCCACCTGCCCTGCCTTTAATTCGGCCCTGAGATTAATATAATCAAATAATCATGTATGTTAGATGTACAAAGTACTGTAGGCTGTAGGTAAAGGTAAAAGAGCAGAAAAAATTATCAAAGGAAAAGATGTTTACTAGTGTTTACTAGGTGGAATTTGAAAGATTTTTTTTTCCGAAGTCTCTATTGTGGGGGCCCCTCGTTTGTGGAGGCCCCGGGGCTTTCGCCCCGGTTGCCCTCCCCTAAATCCGGCAGTGGGTAAGATAGTGGCGTCAATGACCGACAGGTGGAAAGCCAATGATCGACGTCTATTTCTGTGATCAATGAGAGTAGGAGCAGGAGACCGCTTAACGTGGTAACACCGACTGTCTATACCTGTGTGTTGCCATTTTTTTTCCTTCTTTATATTGTTATAGAAGGTTTAATCGGATTGATTGTGTCACCCACGAAGATCACATTATATGGTCATAGCCTACGTTTTATACCAATTTTAACAATTTTAGTCAATAACCTAGCTTTTTCTGAAAGCGGAAAAGCTAGAATATTTATACATTCACCAATATCATACAATGGAATATTATATTTATGTATCAATTCCATCCTCTCTGATTCGTTCCGGACACATTCCATGATTATGTGAACTACATCCTCAACTTTATCACACTTCGTACAATTTGGTGAGATTGTTTTACCCATTAAGTGAGCAAATTTATTTAATGGGATGTGCCGGACCGAAGAAGTGTTGCCATATTTAGTGATGGGTTTACTTCTCTTGTTTTCATTGATCATGGAAGGAAATGTCGATCATCGGTTCATGTTGGTCATTCCACTACCAGTAAACATTGTTTCGAGCTATTCCTTGCAATGTGACGGTGTTTATTAACGCCATGAAAAAAAATTAACAGCTCTTAAAGAGCGATTTTTTGAACATCACTGACTTCAATTAATGGTCGAGTCAAGGGTGGATCCAGTGGGGGGGATCATGACCTCCCCTGGGCTGGGTCCATCTGTACCCACTGTGACTTGACCACGACTATATGACCCCCCCCCCCCCCCCTCTGGCGCCAAAGCTGGATCCGCCCTTCAAATGGCTTGTATATCGATCTCTGAAGTCTCAGGCTCGTTCGACCGCTGGCCGAATCAATGTAGCTGATAAATACTAAGATGCGATTTCAAAGATGTCAATACATTTTTAAGTTTTTGTTTTATTTTTAGTCGTTTATTTTGCCTTGGGTCAGGGTGGTCGGGGTGTTTCTGATTTTTATAAAATGCTTTGGCTTCTTTGGGATCAGAAACCCTGTTATTAAATCTAACAGCCAGGCGACTTTTATTGTTAGATTGAGACAAGACGCATAGTAGTGTTGACTGTTATTTTTACCTAGTTTCCTAATTTTTTACTAAACAATACTCAAAGACGAGAAGAAAGCTAAACGGATGAGTTTGTACTGCATGTGAAAAGTCGGTGTGCTTTCGATGCTATTGCTAAAGAGTTCCGTTAACTTAAAAATGGTCTGGCATTTAGTGGAGCGCCATCTAGCGGCAAATGCAGTGAATCAAGATTAGTCCATGTTGAAACAATGTTTACGTAGATGTGTGTGATCGAGTTTGCAGCTCGCGTGGGACCATTAATTTTTTACGTAAGACGATTTAGGGGGGCGGGGACGAGAAATAAGACTTGGGCGACCCCCAAGTCTTATTTTTTCTTACAATGGGAGTCTCGATAGTTCTTACGTAAGATCACAAAAATAGACAAAGTTAAAATTGTACTTTGACAGCAACAGCACGACGCCTTTTGAAAAAAAATGTTACTTTGAAAAATTGACATTAAA